TTGACCTTGATTACGCATTTGGCCCCCTCAGTCACATAAAAATAAATTTAGTCCCTCATGTTTGATCTATTTACCACTTTTGGTCCTTTATGTCAATTTGAACAATTTTGATGAGATTATTTCCCTAAATTTCAACTGTACTCTTTGGTACATATTTGATATATAACACATAATTTTAAGGGTAAAATTCATTTTGCACCCCTATACTACACGAAATGCACCATTTACCCTCAAGTATAGAAAACATCAAACACCCTCTGCCGTCAGCCTTTTTCCTGATTTCCGTTAGTCAAACCCTTTGACCGATTATTGCAAAAATGTTGGATTTTTTTTCCGATGAAAATACCCCAAAAAAAATTCTATATATAGGTTGCTTAGTTTTGACAAACGTTCATCATATTTTTGACTTTTTTCAGTCATTTTTTTTCACTTTATTCGGTTATCTGTTTTAATACTATTTTCAGCCATTTTTCTTATAAAAAAATTGAAAAGTCGAATAAATAAGAATGAAGCTTTGCAGATTATGAATGTAAAAAACCCACAAAAAAGAAAACTAAAAGCCGTGAAATCTAAAAGAAACCCTAATATGAAAGAATTGCAAATGGAAAACAATAATTTTATTTGGAACATGAATATTACTGTTTGGGACAATAATATTAGTAAAATTATTATTCGGGACAGTAATATTAGTAAAATTATTATTTGGGGCAGTAATAGTAGTAATATTACTGTTTTGGCATTCAATAATAATTTTGTTGTTAACATAGTAATTTGAAGCGAAAAAAAAAGTTTCAAAAAAGAAAAAAAGAAAAAAATTCAACGTCAGAATCTGGCCGGGAAAAAAATTCAGAAAAAAAATTATTTTCTAAAAAAAAATATTTTTTGTTGCACGATTTTTGCTTATCAATTCTTCGAGTTTTGGTCTTCGTTCGTCCGAGTTTTCGGCTTTATTTGTATATATTATGTTGTTTTTGTTTTATTTATATTTAAGGTAAAGAGAAGCTATTTTTGCCGATTCGAAACGATTTTGGAAGCGAAGCCGAAAATCAAACCAAACACGTGCAAAAGTGCATTATCGCGGGTGTGGCACTATTTCGTATTTCAAGCATAACTTTTGCATACAACCTCCGATTGAGCTGATTCAAGTGGCCTTAGAAAGCTAACTTCAAGATCTACAACTTTTGTGAAATGCAAAACTGTCAAATTCGGGCTAGAAAAGGGTCAAAATAGTGTTTGAAGTTGGCGCAGAAGACCAGATCGCGATCCAGCCTTTCTGGATCGCGATCTGGGGGGTCTTACAGAGAGCAAATTGGGGTCAGATCCAGATCGCGATCCAGTCGTCCTGGATCGCGATCTGGGGGGTCTCACAGTACATTTTTTGATGATGAACCAGATCGCGATCCACCATTCCGTATCGCGATCTGGAAAGGCGGTGCGCAGTTTCCAAGGCTGCCAGATCGCGATCCAAGAAGCCCAGATCGCGATCTGGGCACAGAATTCGAGAGAAGATATTTTTCAATGATTTCTTACTATAAATAGAAGGTCTCTTATTCATTTTAGCAGATCTCGACAAACTCTCGATTATCTCTCGACCTTTTCTTCGGTTTTCGCCAGTTCTTCGCGGGAAGCTTCGACGAGGGTTTCGACTCGGGTTTTACATAAGCTTTTCTTATGGTTTAGTTTATGATTTCTCGTGTTCTTCATTTTGATGCTATGTTTGTAATGATTTGAGCATTTTCTTTTAGGGAAATTAAACCTTGTATATATTGATTTTGATTTCCAGATATGTGATCTATTTGTCGTTCTTTGATTATGTTTATGTTTTCCTGTATTAAATGCTTTCGATTGTTTGGCCAACAATTGAATTGATTATAAATGGGGATGAACTCGAGAGAGGATTTCTCGTTTGATTTTAGGAAAACATAGCTCGGGTTGTGGAAACGGAGACGTGATGCACCTCGGGTAGCCATTAAGGACTTGACCTAAATGCTCTCTTAATATCAGGTTCTGAACGGAGACGTCGGACCTGTGGGTAGACTCTAACTACACTGGAGACGGGGGTTAGGGTATTTTAGTGTCTGGGTTAGCGAACATAGAATTGACAATAGATTCGGATTTGTAGATCTTTATCGATAGTACATTGGTGGATTTTACCCTAGAAGCCATCACACGTCGGAATTCCTCGCTTATACTGGCGGACCGTTGTTTTTATTTATTGTTTCTTTTTGGTTTCATTTTTCCCATCCCTTTCGATCGTCTAGATAAAGTTTAGGATAGTATAATTACGGTACTTGGTAGATTTATGAACTTAATTCCCTGTGGATCGATATCTGGAATTCACTATTCTACAAAACGCGATACTGTACACTTGCGGTTTTTCATACGTAGGTTTTACGCGTATCAATTACACCCTTTTGTTCCTTTTTCACACATATTTTGTACAAATTAAAAAATTGTTCACCACCAAACTAATTAGAATATTCACACAAAAAAAAACTCCACCGTTTTTAACAAGAATCTTCACCACAAAATCTCTTCCTCTCCACCTTAAGTGAAAGATCGTCAGAGAAAAACACTGGAAGGTCACAAGGAGCAAGAATTCACGTTCTTGGAGAAATAAATTAAATAAAGAATGCTTGTGTATAAATAATTAAAATGAAAACAAATGAGACTTTTGATTTTGTTATTTTCAGTGGTTTAAAATTTGAAAAATGGGTTACATTTCATTGAGCGCAATTTGTCCAGAAACTGATTCAGATTAGACGATTATTCTAATCGTATTTTACCATTTGAAATTATTTTGTTGCATTAACATAAGTTACATTCATGAAAGAGGAGGAATAACACATGACAGGATGGTGGATTAGAAATTTTAAAGATGTTTTGGATATTTTAAATAAATTTGGTGGTGAACTGAGACAACTTGGAGGTGGAAATAGTACCACTTTTTGCCCCTATTATAAATACCAGAACTCACTATTCATTTGAGATCAATATTCTATTTTCTTAGCAATTTAAAGAGCTCTCTACTCTACAAAACGTATTCCCATTGACTAAATCGTCAGAGGTTAATCGCCGGGCCAAACCCCAACGAGTCACCTAACGTATGCCTCGATTTTGTAGGTTGACGAAGCATTCTACTCTACACAAGGATTATCGCTTGACATTTGGATTGTAACTCTACGTTCACCTTGGACACATCGCAATAAACCCCACTTTCCCGATTTACTTGAGTTTCAAGATTTGTGAGTGTACTTGATCAGCATCACACGTAGTCGTGACCCCGAAACATAGCCAGAAACATAGATAGACAACAACAAATATTCAAACAAATATTGGGTAAGTGATGAACTATGAGTTTTCAAGCTGCAATACATAATATAGTACAATACATTCATACATACATTGAGTCACCAAAGATTAGTAGATTACAGATAAACTAAAGTATTATCAAGCTAATGAAACAACAACTCCACCTTCGTAATTCCAACCATTGATCAAAACACAAGGAGTTACGCCTTCCGGAGCCTCAAAGTTAAGTGTTACAGCCATTACCTCACCAGGAACCAAGGAGAAATAGTTGTCAGAATAATGAACCGGCAAAATTCGAGTGTCTTCACCTTTTTTCTCATCTTTTTCCGAAGTATGTACAGAGAAGTGAAGAAAGAAGGCAACACCACTCTGGGCCCCACCTATTTCCGTAACTTTCACTTCACTGCCTTTCTTCGGGAAGTTCTTCAGAATCTTCCGGAACCAGCTTTGTCCCTTTTCTCTATCGACAAAATCCCCGTTGTTACTCGAAGTATTCTGTATGTGCATTTTTACCTCGTAGCTTGACCCTTTGATGAAAGTTAGAGACATAATTTTGAGGGGGATTTTATTGGATTTGTATTGTTCGAGGAGTTTATAATCGCCACCCGGAAGATGTAGCCAGTAGAAGTTTCTGGATATTATTTTCTTGTCGTCGTCCGACTTTTTATAGAGTTTGAGAAGAAGGAAATAAACGGGTTTAGCATTGTCGGAATTCGGATACTTAATCTCGGAAGTGGATAATGTTGTTTTGGATGGTATAGTGAGTGTGTCGAAGACTTCATAGTATGGGCATGCTCCTTCTAGATCCCAAACTGAAGCTTCTATAGCTACGTCAGATAGTTCTTTCGATGTCGTGTTCACCACCTGCGTGTATATCCCAATTTAATTCCTCTCTTTTGATGTTAAAACAATTAAACAAATAACACATCCATCAGAATAAATGATTCTATCATGAAAATGTTCACCGCTTAAAAACACATCCGATGAAAGTAATAAGTTCTTAAGAACCTGCTACTAGTTATATGTAGACACTCAGAATAATTAAGCACAAAATTCATTAAAAACATTTTAGGCCTAAGGCATACAAATTTTGGGAAGTATTTCTACAACTCACATTTAAGCAGCTAGTCAGGCTTAATATTTACTCCCTCCATTTCTTTTTTAAGTGTCGTTTAAAAGTAACGCACACGGATTAAGGGAGTTATTAAATAGTCTTGATTTTAGGGGAAGAGTCCTTATTTGACAAAATTACCCCTTCCCCGGTTTTTCATCCTGTCTTTATCACTTCATCAAATCTATCATGGGTAAATTACAACAACCCCTGAAGTATGGTCAAATTACGAAAACCCCCCTTCTGTTTGGGTAGTTACAAAACCACCCCTCAACTATAAATCTTCTTACACGTCTACCCTTGCGGTTTCAAATTTAGTTCGAATCTTCGAGATTATATGGCATTTTATCACTTTTGTACCCGTTTTATCCCATTCGAACTCTACATTTTGAAGCAAGATGATCATAATATGTGGTTTTTGTCTTGTTCATATCAGATTGTGGTGCATCAGAAACTGTATTTTTACACAAAACGAGTACAAACTAGAGCACATTCCACAAAATCTAGATGATTATGTTGAATCTGATACCATAAGGGTGGGGTGTAAGAAAAAATCATAGTTGTGGGGTAGATGTAATTATCCAAACAAGAAAGGTTTTTTCGTAAATTGATCATACCTCAGGGGTGGTTGTAATTTACCCATCTATCATTACTGCGAGCGTAAAGTTCAGAAAATAAATAAAGAATTCGTTACGCCTTGAAACTCTAAAGTGACACTTAATATGGAAAAAAAATATATTGCTAAAGTGATAATTCTAAGAAAATGGATCAAGTTTACCTCTATGAAATAAGTTGACAGATTAAGCTGGACATGAATTGGTTCAGCAGCACAACGGCAGCCATAGAACCCCGCTGTCTGGTCATGAAGATGATCATAGAACTGACCTCTTAGACCTGTCCATGGGTTTTGCGTTTTCCATATCAAGACACCTGTATATTTGGTCCACATACGCGAGGTCCAACCTTCTAAGAGAGCTCTATATTGGATATAATTAACCAATTGCGCCTGAGAATGAACGTACAGTTTAGTCGAGACGACAAAAACAAGAAATCCGAAAGCCGAATATGAACTAAAATGTAATCACAAATCACAAATACCTTAAGACAAAAGTCATCAAGAGCTTTCGGTGTTCCGTATAGTAAAATCTGGTCATGAACCAAGCCCGGTTTCGAATACGGAATGTACTTATGGTAAACCCATATAGGATTAGCGACTTCCTCAATATAACCGCTAGCTAATTTATTGAATAAGGGGATTTGCCACCCCTCGGGTGGCATTGTTGCTCTGATAGTAGCTGCCACAGGCATTCCTACAGAACCAACCTCGGGATTGAAACCGTACATGTAAAAATCATCTTTGAAAAAGTTTTCGGGATTTTGAATTTCGTAGGGTCCGTCGGTAAAATCTCCCTGCCCATTTGCAAAGCCATCCCACATAGAACCTTGGACGTAAATACGTGTTCCATCAAGATATTCACTTGGATCCTTCAAAATTGGGCTAATCTCTTTCTTGAAATTCTTATTACTTTCGAAATTAGTTTCGAAATAGGGATGGAGTTGCAAATCGTTTTTCAAAGCCGTATTAATGTCATCTGGAGGGACTTGCTCATTGCCTCCAACCCACAGAGCAAGACTAGGATGATTTCTTAGCAGCTTAACAGTGTCTCTAGCACACAGCAAGAAAAGGTCGTGGTCCAATGGACCATCGGGATTTGATACCGGAACACCTCGCCCGTCAACGTCTCCAGTTATCCAGAATTCTTGCCAAACCTACAAAAGTATTTATATAATATCACATATTATTTCGTTTATATTAGACTTTCTCTATAACACTATGACGCTAAATTGTAAAGCAAGCCACCGAGTTTAAATATTTACTCGAGTTATTCCTTGGAAACAGCCCGAAAACTTTAATACATAGTAAGAGGTTGTAAACAAATCAGAACCCACTAAAACTATCCAGAAATAAAAATTAAATTACTTTCCATGGTCCTCGCTTCTAATGTACAAGTAACTAAAATTCATTTCAAGATGGACGAATGGAAGTAGTTTCTATTTATAACAAGTATTCCGACATACCAGAAGACCATAAATATCGCAGTAATGATAGAATTCAGGCCTTTCAGCAAGCCCACCACCCCAACAGCGTATCATGTTGAAGTTCATGTCGGCATGGAATTTGATATCGGTTTTATACCGTTTCTTTGAGAGCCGTAGTAATCCATCTGACAGTATCCAATTACCCCCACGGATAAATATTGGCTCTCCATTGACCTTAAATAGCCTGAGAAGCAACAAGTAACGGTCAACTTGGTTTGTCAAGCATTAATATCTGCACCACCCTAGAAAATGCTAATACCTTCCACCAGTAGTAGTATCTATGTCACTCTCAATCTTCCGGAAGCCAAAATGCTCACTCCACGAATCAGATTCTCCGTGATCTTCCACATCAACTGTTATTTCTACATTGTAAAGAGATTGTTTCCCCATTCCATTGGGCCACCAAAGATTGGGTTTATAAAAGAATAACTGCAGTAAAAATATAACCAATGATTCAAAAAGTCGTACGATGGAACTCATCAATGAGTAACAATTGCCTAGAACTTGTCCGTATTACACTAACAGGATGCCTTAAGCACCATGCATATTGCAATTCATGGTTTTCATCGTTTTACTTATAATAATTGCTCTTAAATAGCATCTTTTGAAATAATGTTATTGACTAAAGTTCTCTTTACAATATGCATCTTTAAGCCTGAGAGCTTTTTTAAGTTCCATACTTAACAATAATAGATCCCAATTGCTGGAACATAATCAAATCATAACAAACGAAGAAAGTAAAGAACATAGAAGCTTTAACAGGATAGAAATTGCGATAAAGAAGAATAAAAAAATAGAAACCAACCTCGGGTAAAGTATATTGAACATGAGATCCAGCAGGAATAGAAAGCTTCTGTGTCTGAAGATGCTCTACCAGGATTAGATCTCCTTCAGGTTCAGTTCCCACTTGAATATTCAGAGTACAGTCAGCAACTAAGTCGCCTTTGTTAACCAACTCCACTGTTGTATGAAGGTAGGCTCTCTTGTAGTCGTCAAAGAATGATGAGACTAAGTGAGGATCCACTATCTTCACTGGCTGCATAAAAAACACGGGATCTGAGTATAGAATCGAAAAAAATAAAAGATGATGATTCAAGAGGCAAAAGAAAGGATCAGCAAGTTAAGATCCACTATCTTCACTGGCAGCATGAAAAATAATAAAATATGGCATCATAAAAATGATATTAAAAAAATGATCATTCAATAGGCGAAAGGGAGGCTCAGAATATTGATTGATTCCCTATCAGAACTTAAGTCTTACGTCAACCGTATTCGAGACAGTAAGAAAAAGATTCTACTTTTAAGTCTGCAGCCAAAATATAAAAGATGATTCTTCTCATATTTAGTATAAAACATGTCGGAAAAAATTCATTTGATGATTTTCAGGGAAAATTAGTGCCCAAGTGCGGAAGAATATTATACACTTAAGTGCGTAGCTTACCCCAGTAAATGAAAGAGAAACCTCATCCCAGATGCCAGTGTTCCTATCCCTGAAAAATTAAAATGAAGACTTAAAATCTAAGTTTTGAATACAAGTATGGAAAGAAGTAATAGAATTTTAATATTAACTTTATATAAATTAATTTTTTTCACTCAATGAAGGATTAATAGGGTCTCAATGATAGCATCTTATTTTTTACAAGCTTTCTACAATAGTAGCCTCCGGTTAGAGAGATAAATTTAAAGAGCCTGGTGATAAAATGAAACATAATTGCAATTCTTTGTTTATTCATTGCTGGAAGAAAAAAAGGCCAGCTTTATCACTTCGTTTTATTGTTTGGTGCTTTTAAAATTTGAGAATAAGATATCTTCAGGTCCTGGGTGAAAATGAAATGTTTCAGACTCGGGACTAGTTGAGTTGAAAGGTTGATTAATTGAATTTAAAGATTGGTTGACATGCAAAAACAAGAAGAAAAAAAACATGTTGGGCTTCGTCATTTCCAAACCTGGGGTAACGTGTGATTTTTTAAAATGCGATTTGTATAAAGGTTCCGAAAAATAGAGCTCAAAAGATTGTTTAGTTTCTGAAATCTTTAAAATATAACCTTTCAGGAGTTGCATAAAAACAAAAGCACGATAAAATGAAAATGAATCAAAACAGGGGTTAAGTTGTGACACCAGGAGGTGTCACTTTTTTTCTTTTCTTTTCTTTTCAGTAGTTATTAGGTTCGTGAGAAATCAATAAATCACCTTATAGGAGCCATCCAATCCCAACCCTCAACATATTGTGCCGCGACATCCTTCCCAATCTAGAATTAACATTAAAGTAAGGTAAAGATTCAATTGGAATGGTCCATATGTTGCAGAAATTTCAATGTGCAAACATCATTGCCAAAAACTAGGATCATAAAGCAATTGATAAGAACAACATAGTCAGGTATTAATACTATAATTTTGATTGCAATAGTACACTAATAGCCATATATATTCGGTATAGCACCAACTATTTAGACAACTAACTACATGGGAGTATATGATAGATAATAGATGATACAACAAAGCCTTATTTTTACAGTCAGAGAGGTGTCAGATATCCATGATCAGTGAACCTACTTGAGTACTTCAGTTTGTTCGTCTAACCAGAATAACTATAGATCAGGTAAAAAAAAAAACTATATACTTGCACATTATCTATCCCTCCAACAATGGATACTATCACATCACATCCTCTCAAGTACGCTTTCAGTTCATGGATGACTTGACTTAGTAGCGTTTGCTTTGGACCGTATCATATTCCTTGTACTTACTAAGCTGACTAGTTTAATCGACTAGAACGAGTAAGAACATAGCAATTACATTGACTATCTATCTTTAACTGCGTCACTCAGGCCTAAAAAGTAAGAAATTCGAGCATCAAGACTAGTACTTCCAAAAACGGAAAATAAAAGGGAGATATTAATATATACCATTAGATTGCACCCATCTAAGATCTGTTAATGTGATGAAAACGGGAAGTGATAATTCTAACTCACAAGGATCTAGCCAATTAAACAGTTACATTAATTATAATAGAGTTAATAGGTTCTCCACATGCAAACTTCATTTTGGTTTGGATTTTCCAGAGAAAGCTTCAAGTTGGCAAGTATCGACATTTATCAGGTAACATGGTGGCTCAAAGGATATTTAAATTCTCCTACAACTTTTCTATCCTCACCACACCACTTTGTATGAGTATTAACTTCCAATATAATTGTGAAAAAAAAAAGGGCTGAATAATGAAATCAAAACCATACCTCGTGATCACCACCCTGACCACCTTCAGGAGGAATTGTGCCAGGATGATCCGGAGGATAAACCAGGACAGCCAGCATATTTTCGCCACTCGAATTTAAAAACTCGGTGACATCAATAGAATGTCTTCGGAACATTCCCTTTGGCAGCACCTCTTTGTGCCCATTTAAATAAACCTCGGCAGAGTAATTTATGGCGCGGAAATTTAGCTCCACATAGCTATTTGTAGACTGAAATTAGTTTAGAAGATCAAATGTCAGAAAAGAACCTGAAAGGCTGGGTCAAGCAACTTCAAGTCTCTTGCATGCTAATGTAAAATTGGTATTCATAAAAGATTATGCGTAAATAAAATATGGCCACTAATCAAATATCAGCACACATTTAAATCATTGTATATGAAAAATGCTAATTGATGAATACATAATAGTCCAACAATGATTTACCAACACATTCATCCTAAAAATTAACGATTACCCATAAGCAATATTCCGGTACTTCATATATGATTTTCACTGATAAAATGTCAAATATAAGATGATAAACATCAAGATTATAAGTATTGGCTTAGCATGGTGATAATTAACTGATAATTCATTTGCCTCTTAGTAGTTCTCGGACTAACTACGAAGTTTCGCAGCAACAGCTACTTAAATTATTTTTTAACATAAAACATGATACAAAGGAAAGGTCGATCATACGCAAACAGGGGCATATATGTGATTAATTGGTGTTATAATTTTTTAACTTTATTTCAAGTCCCTCTCACTATTTCTCCTTGCATATTTGACCCTATGGTAACATAATTAGATCACATGACAATTAATTACAGGATCTGCCTCTAGGCTTATTTCATCAAGATAACGAGGAATGAATGACATTTATTATAACCCAATATTTTTTTTACAGAAATTTGTTTTTATAATTCAGCATCAAGGTGGTAGACCTACTATAAAATGCAGAGGCAAATACGAACATCAAACCAAAAAAAATTACGTAAAAAGTACGACATACCAGATTGCATTCGAATGTCGTAAAAAACCAGAAAGTGTAATGTTCCCTTCCGGAGTCAGCTATATCAATAATCGACTCGTTTTCCAACCCGTAGAAGGGATCAGGTACAAGCTTGTTCTTCACAAGGGTAGCCAAAACACTGTTCACCCAAATTAAGTTGAAATTGAAATAAATCATCGCCCAAATTACTCATTTATGTTTGTGAATCAAAACCTTTTCGGCAATTAACTATCAAACAATTCAAATGAAATCAACTACGGGAGTTAATACGAGCTACATTCAAGTTAATTAATCAAAATTAAAGCAACCCTAACTTATAATCAAATCAGGAAACAATATTTACTTAATTACGTTCGTAAATGACATAATTGAAGAATTTTGTTTAATAAATTGAAAAAAAAAAAGTATATTTACGTTCCAGGTATGAGAGCTTCGATCCACGGCGAGTGATCGGAGGAAGGAGGAGTAGTGGTGGTGAGCTCAACTCCGGTGAGGTCAACCTCCGTGGACCGCGCGGCAAGCCAGCCTTTATCCAGGACTCTCTTACCTATCGCCTCCGCCATGGTAACAAGTGGTTATCAATGGCGCAAAGCAAAAGCTTGAAGAATTTGTTGATTTTGGGGTTTTTGCAGGAAAAATGTAAAGCGGTGGTGGGGGTGGGTGGGTCCCACCGTCCACGTCACGCCCAGTCGTCATCGTTAGCGGTACGAACGAGGGCGGATAAATTTTTGTTTCATGTTTTCATAAATTTCATTAGCTGGGTAATGTATCATTACTGTTGGAATTATTTGAATTTATCAGGCTTTGGGGTGCTTGTTCCACGTGGTGGATTTATGGATTTAATTTTTTTTTACTACAAAAAAAAAAAAAAAAATTGTGGCATCCTTGTTGATTTTGTCATTTGCCGAAATTCATACACATAATTCAAATTAAAAATCCAAAATTAAACATAGGGGCAATTTGGTAAATCTCCTCGGCGCTAATTCTCTTTCAAATCAGGAGAGGTTGATTTTTGGCAATTTACTCTTTTTTTTCGGGAAAAATGCTGATTTTATTGGGTATATATCCCTAAAGTTCGAGGAAGCTTACGTAAAATTTAACTTCTTAGCTAGAACAAGTGCCAAAGGATTGTCATTACACTTAATAAAGAGAAAAATCCAAGAATAAAAAGATGAAGCAATAGTTAAGGTCTCCTCTATATAAACTCCAAATGAAGAGAAAGAAAGAACACCAACTTTTAACGTGTTGATGACATTTAAGCAATCCCCTCCTAAATGATCGAGTTCCGGCCATGTAATTTAGTTAGTGCAATAGCTTCAAGAGCAGTACGTGCTTCACATTCTACCGCCTTAGACCGCCCCGGAAATTTACGAACAGCTCACCCACCCACGTACAACATTCTGATTTTGGCAAACCTTTATTCTTCATCCTGTCAAATCCATTTAACCCGCTTCACTTCGTCAGTCAGTCCAACCCTGATTCACTCCATCAAATATGCTCCATTCATGCGCTCCGCCTCTGCCATCGTCGAAGCTCTATACACAGGCACACATACACACACACATAATCACACACTTACATATACGCATAGCAATCACACACACACATACACATACGATTTTGGTTAGCCCCCTTCCCCTTTGTTGTAACCTAATAATTATGGAAATCAAAAAGGAAAAAATATGAAGAATTGTTTGGTGATGGCGTATGGTAATATACGCACCAGAGATTTAAGTTTTTTTTTTCTTCAATTTATTATAACTAAGTTGTGCAAATATGTTTTCTAAATTGTCTAACTTCACATTAAAACTATACGAAATATGTGTTCTTTTTTAATTTTTGCTCATTAATGTAACTCAAGATCTGTACATAAGTTTTATAAGTTGTCTGTGTAAGTTGTGTATGCATTGTGAGATGTAGTCATTCTTGTTTTAATTTTTTGGTCAGTTTATTTTAACTAAGTTGTTACTTATTTATATAACTAAGTTGTGCAAGTCAACGCGTTGCCGTAATTGTTAATTTTCCTAAGCAATCTTGTTAAAGAAAATTCAAAGTTAGCGTCAGATCCAGAGCGCAAGGATTTTTAGCACAATGGCAAAATACACCTTTCCTTATAGCTATAGAGAATATTCTTAAGGGACTTCCAGCTAAATTTTCCCTTAAATGTATCCAACAAACTTAGTATCAGCTGTCATCTACCTGATATTAATTCATTTTTTTAATAAAGCCATCTTATCTATTTTTTTTAAGATATTTAGTTATGTTGCGAGTTGCATTAGTTTATATATTTTTGCCTATTTTTATAAATATAAATTAATTTCTAAAAGTTATGAATTATTTACGATAACATATATTAACATAAATCTTAGTATCCTTATATTTTCTAATAGACCAAAAACACAACCCATTTTCCTAATTTATATTTTTTCTTCCAAAACAAATTGTGCTTAGTGCAGTCCAAAAAATGTGAGAATCTTCAATTTCTTCTTCAATTAACAGTTATTACGGTGATCCGTTCCTCAAATACTACAAATGCCCTTCTGTTGAAGGATTCATGGTAAACATGTGAAAAATACAACAAAAAATAAAATTCTAGGACAAATGTAACTGATACAAAATTTTGAAGGGCGGAATCTCTTTTTTCTAGGTTATAAGGGGGAAAGTGTAAAAAATAAAATGTTTTATGGGTCGGAGTACATTTTGTCCTTGATATTAATAAAATAATATTTTGCTGCAACAACAAGCATCAATTGTCGACGACGGTGCTCAATGGATCAAATCGATGTTAAATTAGAGTTTCAAATTTTTTAATTGAGTATTTTGAAAGTGTTAGGAGTAATTTTATCATAAAATAATTATTGATACTTATGTCAGTAGAGTTATCAATGAACAGATTTTTTTGGCGAAACGAAAAAGAGAGATGTACTTGTTTTAATGACGAGTGGTTGTGAAAGACCTATAAATCATTCCTCCCTTACGAAAAGTACTACAATTTGCAAAATCATATTTAGTACCAAAATTTTAAATTAATTTCTATACTGAACTCAATATATAAAATTGAATCACTTATTGAGGTGATGTTTGCAAAAAGATATTATAGAATTAAAAGTGGGTGATTGTGAATAAAACTTCAGATAATTGTTGTAAAAAAATGAGGGGTTTTCAACTGTTAAAGAAAAAGAATCGAGTTTAGCAGTTTGGTTAGAAGTTCTAGTGTTGCAAACAAACTTTAATTTTCAACTTATTTTTATGAAATAACTTAATTGTCTAATAAAAATATTTCAATAAAAATAACAAAAGCTACAAATATACAATGCAACTTCCAATTATTTGTATAAGGGTTTTAGAACAACAAAGTAGAAAGAATTTTTTTTAAATTATAACTTAAAACCACTTAATTTAATATTGCCAGAAGCAAAAGTTGCATTTGCAAACATTAAACCAAAAAAAAAAAAAAAACTCATTATTAGGGAATTAATACAATTCGATCAAATTCAAATTGATTTAACTCGTGTATGCACCGAAGAAGACAAAGTTCTTGTGAACAATTTTTTCTTTTAATAACGGCAACACATATATTGATTTCGCTAGAAACTCATTGCATTTTCTATCATAATTTTACTGAAATGATTTTTACGGTACTAATTTTACAAATACCGTTTATTCAAAAAATTGTTCTCTCTCTAAAACACGCAAACCCTCAAACCTCACAAACATAACCAAGTTGGGCGCGGAAAATCACATCCTGCGCCCTTGATTTCGTCCAATTAATCACAATTAAAACCAACCAAATTTTTTTTGTAGAGAATATTATTCTCTACTAGAAGAAATTGAAATTGTATTATTTCTTATTAATAATTCAAGTTGCAGTAGCAACTAGCAATAACAAATTTAAATAGCCCCTGTTCTTACAGCTAAATGAGTTGTTAAAACCTTACAAATGTCACAAACATTAAGAGAATTCTGATGAAGGGCTTTGAAATCGGCAGGCATACTCCTAATCGGTGTGAAATTCGAATCACAATATTGAATCTCGGTCAAAGCATGTCCTGCTAAACGAGCCATCCGCTTATAATGATTCGGTAGATCACTTATCGCTTGGGATTGACGAAGTGCACTCACCGCATATTCGTAGTGCGGCTTGCATTCTCTATATTGACCGCTTAGCACCGGATTATTTGATTTCGACGCTTTCGTTTCGCGCCCGATGATATCCAGGTACACAAGGTACAACACATTTTTGCTTGCCTCGAGAGTGGCGTTCGTAAAATCGATTGGGGTCGTCGTACCTAGTTTGTACAGAGGCTTCACGAACTTGACACAATATGCTGGATCTTTCGTCTTCGAGCAGACGTCGCTAACTAGATCGGCCGACGAAATGTACGCTAGTGAAAGAAATGTGAACACAAACAAGTAATTATTATATGAAGAGCCCATTTTTTCCCCTTTTGTTTTTCTATTTTTCTGCTACAATATATGTAATACTTTTTTTTTGAGAATGTTTAGTCCTATTTATAGGGATTTTTTGAATACGAAGAGTAAATTAATTTTTTTTTTTTTTTTTTTTTTTTTTGTAATGAAGAGTAAATATTGTAGTGATTAAAGGATGTTGATCTTCCAAGTCCAAGATTGCAAATTGACGTTAAAGATATGACTAAAAAATTAATTATCTGCAAAATCCATCTTTTATGTTATTGAATTAATGAATTCAATCTCGTGTGTTCTATGTTAAAGTTGTATAATATTACCGTCTCCCATTGTAATATTACTGTGGTTGATGTTAAAGATATGTGTAAAAAATTAATTATCTGCAAAATCCATCTTTGATGTTATTGCAAAATCCACATCAATATATTTTTTTTGACCTTTTTATTTCGTTTGATTTGTTCACCGGTCAACATAATAATACATTAAATAAATTAAAATTAATTGTCTGCAAAATCCAAAATTTCATATTTGAAAAAAATATTATTTTTTAATACATTAAATAAATTAAAACTTCATCCAAAATTGGAAATTTCTGAAATTTTATTTAGTTTCAGTTTTGATGCAGATTTTTCTTGTAAACAAAAAATCGAATAAACATTTTTAAAATCAAAATGAGAAAGAAAAGATGTTCTAAAATAAAAAAGAAAAAAAATTGGAAAAGACAAAATTCAAAAAATCTTGTTACAAAATTTATTCTTGCGGCTAGTTTTTATTTTTATTTTTTTATGTTCCAACCGAATTATATGTGTTTGAATTAATTTTAAAAAGTAATTTGAATGTTATATAAATAAAATATGTTTGAATAAATCTCCCTTATATTAAAGAAAGCATGCACCAAACCCCATGAAAACCCCTCAATAGTCAATAGTTAATGATGTTAATTATTAACGGAATAGGAAATTTTTTGCAAGACAAAATAAAACACAAGGGTTCTACACAATAAAAATAGCACATAAGAATTTGGTGTAAGTTTTCCATAACGCATGGGGATGTTATACAGTTTACCCATCTTTTGTGTTATTGTCAATGAATTATCTTCTGCGTTCTATGTTACAGTTGTATAATAAATGTCCTATAAAATTCATTTTGCTTTTTGACAGTAGAAGATCCTCCATTTAAGAGTTAAATGTTGATCAATTTAATAAA